TATCATCAGCAAACTTGCTGAGGGAGCACTCTGTGCCTTCATCCAGGTCATTGATGAATAAATTGAACAGGACTGGACCAAGGACTGACCCCTGGGAGACCCCGCTAGCTACAGGCCTCCAACTAGACTCTGCACCGCTGATCACCACACTCTGAGCTCTGCCATCCAGACAGTTCCTAATCCACCTCACTGTGCACTCATCTATCCCACACTTCCGGAGCTTGCCCAGGAGGATGTTGTGAGGGACGATGTCAAAAGCCTTGGTGAAGTCGCGATAGACGACATCCACCGCTCTCCCCTCCTCTATCCAGCCGGTCATTCCATCATAGAAGGCTATCAGGTTAGTCAAGCAAGATTTCCCCTTGGTGAATCCATGCTGACTACTCTTGAGCACCTTCTTGTCCTCCATGATACCTCTCATTTTCACTGCCTATAGCATTACGCAGTGAGGAGGCTTTACAGTTTACAGGAATGTGAATGAAGGGCTATGATTGTGCAGAGTGAACAACGCATTTTCTAGCAAAAAGCCTTCTTTATACAATCATTCTGTTTAGAAAGAGATGCTCTTTGTGCTTCATGTACACATAGCTGCATTACTTGGGAGTGTTTGGAGAGGGATTTCTGAAAATGAGGCATTCGGAGGGTCATGAAGTCACTGTGTGAGCCCATTCTGAGAAGGTTTCATTCAAAACCACTTGAAAACATATAGAGAACTTTGAAAATGTTAACATAGATTCCAGTAAAGCAAGCAAGAATCTCAGATTTCTTATGATGGAATAGAAAACCAGATATTTTAAAAGGTAAGTGACTTGGGCATCCACTTTCAATGAACTGGTTCACATTACTCTAAGAAATCCAGAAAATAAATCCCCAGGAAATCCAGGTTTCCTACATAGAAACATTTCACATGAAAGTACTCTTAAAGAAATCAGGAAAGAAAGGAGATAAGCTATGAATAAACTGCAATTTTCAGGAGATAGCTTTCAACCTTTATAGGCAGATAACAGTATCTGGCCATCTTTCCAAGGAAACTTAACAGAAATATGTTAAACATGAAAAAACAAAAAGCTAAGATTATTTTTAACACACTTGGGCTTCAAAAATACAGATCAGTGAGCCTAAAATACACAGCCCCCAAAATTCAAATCTGCAAAAGACAACAGGTAGGCTCACATTTGGTTTCCTTTCCTCAGGCTTACTTTTGACTATTCTCTAGAGAATTTCAAGTAATTTTGGGGCTTTCAAGTAATTTTCTGAAGTAATCATATGTCAACAACTCAAAATAAGGACAGATTGAACAGTAAGAAATTGAATTTGGCAGGTAGGATTACTAAATATTTGGTCTAAAAGGAAAAGCAAAAGAACCCTTCATAGCAAAAGAAGCTCGCCCACTTTTCTTGTCGAAGATCTTAAGGAAAAGAACAGCTACAACTTTCATCTATTTTGGAAACTTTTAAGCTCAAGTTTTTTTAGTTTGCAGAATTATTTCACAAAATTAGCTTTTGACTATTTCAGTTAAGGCCTTTCCATAAATGAATTCACACACAGACATAACAAAAGCCTCTGCCACAGACTAAACCAGTGACAGCCTTATATTTTGAAAAGAGAGGATCCACTTTCCCCAAACATACGTTCTCCTTCATAAAAAAGTGAATTCTCATTTTCAAACAGCTGCTTGAAATAAGCAGCTCTAGTCAGATAATGAATTCAGTTTCCCTTAAGTAAATATCACCATCTGCCCATACATCTATTTTTCTAAAAAAATCAATTCAAGTCTTACACATAACCATAGAGTAAGAAAAACTCTTACGATTTCATCACAAGTATCATGGTATTTCCTGCTTTTCTAGATACTAGTCCTCTAAAAATCAGATGACCATTCACCTTTAACATAATTGTTCACTGTTCATCACTATCACTGACATGATATCACATGCAGCCTTGTTATGAAGCGCCATATAGCAGCCCTTCATTGACACTTTCCTCCTCTCTCCTTTTCTACCACAGAAGCATGCATGCTAGTTTGAGAATCAACACAGAGGAACAGTATTAAACTAGATTCTATTCAACTGGTGATGAACCTCACACAGGAATAAATAAATAAATAAATAGCCAAAGAAGGAAGGAATGATGGTTTTGCATCACACAACAAAAACTCAAACCAAAGAAATACTCCACAGCATGGAAAGAAACACTGGAAAGTAAATAAAACTCTCTACCTTTCTGCTAAAGATTGCAGATCTGCAGTTGATGCTAAAGATACACTAATTAATTATGTTCACTTGCAATCAATAGACAATTATTTCTAGTAGACTTCTAGCTAAAGGTCTGAAAAAAAACATAGATTAATGTCTCATTTCCTTTTTTCATTTCCATAATGCTCATCAATCGGCAGTAACACAGAACTAATTTCTGTGCACATTGACAAAACCCAGTTTCCACAGCAAAGACTGCTAGTCAGCTAATAACCACAGCGAGCTAAACAAAAGCAGTCCTGATGCTGCAAATAAGTAAATAAATATGAAATAAACATTGAAAAGCCATCACTGTCATCTATGATCCACAGAGTGCAAATGTACTCCATGAGCATTACCAAGCGGTTACAGACTGTGGACTCGACCGTTGTGAGCTGACCTGGCCTAGTGGAAGCTCCCAGGGCACTTCTTGAAGCACCGCAGGAGGACAGGCACTATCCAAGCCTGCCATCTCCTCTCTTCGGCTCTACCACCTCCATGTTCCTGGCTGCATGAGCAGCTCTTTTGCCTAGCACATGAGGAAAGGACAGCTCCTGTACCTCATCCTCCATGCTCAGATGCCAAACCCAGCTATCTCTGATAAAGCCGATGGTGTATGTCATGTCAGTGCAATGTTTTCACAAAGTATTTGAATGCACACGTGAGTGTGTGTCCAGCTTCAGACAGGGGCAGAACCTGTGCTAGCCAGGGACAAGGGCATCTGAGGAGCCCTGTGAGCACTGCAGATAGACCAGGCCTCGGTATGACCACTTTTGGCCAAAGCTAGTGCTCTACCACAGACACCGCACCACTTCGGCGGCAGCATCAAGACTGACAAGCTGGCAAGGCTCCATCTTCCCTCACAAGATAAACAGCCTTTCCTGTGCAGGACCACAGCAGACTCTGCAGAGCACAAGGACACCACAGTCAGGAGCCTAACAACAGGGAAACAACAAAATCCACGACTGCGATCTTGGCGTGAGCCCACAGACAGCCGGGTGGGACACAGGATCCTACTGCTGCACTGCTATGGCATGTCTTTTCACGTCCAAGCCCAGGTTTCCACGTCACAGTAAAGCAAGGATTAAGGCAGCACTATCACAGACACAGTGGCGTTTGTCACAAGTCCTCCCTACTCCACTGAGACCGTTTTAGAAGAGAAGTAGCATCAGCAAAATTCTTCCTTATGCTTGCCTTTGAAAAAGGGACAGAAAAAAAGAGAAATTTATCAGCAATTCACAAGACAAATAAATAGGCCTGTGCACCAGTATTT